TTCTTATGCACAGATTTTTGTTTATTTATTTATTTCAGGTTCAAAATGTATAAAATGATATTATTGACTGGCAGTACATCCCATGCAGATTTAGTTCCTTAAAGAAAAGCAAACAAATAATTTCAACACACTGTAATAACCAAATATGTGTTTTGTTGCCTGGAGGCAGTACCATGCTACAGACACCTCTGTGAACACAACACAAACCTAATAAAATGAGATTTATAATTCCAAATAATGTTTCCAACAATGTTTTTAAGATGAAAAGATGTAGAAATGGACTACATCATGTTAGCTAGACTGTATTTAACATTGAAACCAGGTGAAACAGTAGCAAAGTTTAAAATGCTGTAAAATGCAAGAACAGAAATGTCACAGCAACAATAAAACAACATATTTAATTAATAAAAGTAGGACTAAACAAAGAAATCATGGAGGAAACTTCAGAATATGCACAGTGACCAACATCATAAGCAGGTGTGATGCAGCAGTGTCCTGAAGGTTTATTTATTTAACATGTTTGAATGTTCAGTCTCTTTTCTACAAAACTCAACAAAAAGGAATCAAAGCTAAATGTGGAACATGACCGTCTCTCTCTCTCTCACTGCAAACCTGCTGCTGCAGTCCCAGAGACACAAACAAACCACCTGAGCTCAGCTCCAGGCACAAAGAGATAAACTGTCAAGGATTAACATTATTTGTTTAAGTATGTAAAGATTTAGAAATAATTTGAACAATAAAGACCTAAAAGATCTATGACTCGAGGTGTAAACAAAATAGATGAAAGCTGTAATGAGTATTTTTCACAGGCTGCCAGGAAACAGTTTAGTTTTTGCTTTTTCTACTTTAAACACAACCATGTCAAATCTGTATGAGTGTGGACTGTTTATGTTAATGTGGTTTGAAATGGGATATTTTTCTTTCACTGAACTGTTGTTAGTTCAAACCAGTGCACAGAAAAGGAAACACATAGTTGCTCTTTTCCCTCGTAGGCTGTTGTGTAATCCCATTGACTGAGTGTAAGAAAGCAGACACTCTCACTCTCTCCTCACTCTTACTGACAGCAACAAATATGTGAAAGCAAACACGAGCTTTGCTGCAGGATTTCCTTTTTATTTATACTTGTATAAAAGTGAGTTGATTGAAAAGTGAATGATTGAATCTGCAGACTAACAGAGCGTTTGAATGGGATATGTGGGAGAGTATGCAGTATAAGTACAACTGTACCTGCAAGATAAACTCTAAGACAGAAAAGGAGAAGTAAAGCAGTAAGTTTCGTTTTACAAGAAATAAGTGTGAGGGAGTGTTGGTCTACATTCTGCAGACGTCTGTCAGACAGAAACGGCAGAACATTTTTTCTGTTCACAGAAGACAAACATATATAACAGCTATATTTGGTGGCCCTCTAGAGGTAAGAAGTCAGATAGACTTCTCTTATAAATAGGACAGACATTTATGTCTGTGTTTGTAACATTTATGGCGTTCATAGACATGGACAAAATTGTTGGCACCCCTCAGTCAGTGAAAGAAAAACTCACAATGGTCACAGAAATAACTTTAATCTGGCAAAAGTAATAATAAATAAAAATTCTATAAATGTTAACCAATGAAAGTCAGACATTGCTTTTCAACCGTGCTTCAACTGAACTATTTAAAAAATAAATAAATAAAATAAATATCGTCCTTCAAAAAAAGCGCCCCTCCAACGGCCAAACCCATCTGTTCTCTGATTGGAGTGTTACATTTCTGATTGACATGATATTGACCAATCAGATGAAAGAAAGAAACATAGGGTCAAAATTCGTACTTGTAACTTGCACGTTTTCCACACACAAATCTTTTTTTACGCACACAAATCTTTTTTACACATACAAATCCTGATTTTCAAGTACAAAATATTTATGACCACATTTTGAGCAAATACTCTGAACACCACATCCAGAACA